ATATAAATTTTAATTCTTATTTATTATAACCAAAATCAAACATTTAATAATACAGAATTTATATTTTTAGAAATATTAAAAAATATATTTTATATACCTTATATATACTTAACCTATGATATATATTTTTTTTTATTGGGGTTAAGGCTTCAACTACTAGGTCATTAGCTTGGGGAACTGTTGGGGAAGGAACTGTAGTTTTTGGTTATACGTGTGTGTGTTGTGGCAGAATTTCTAGTGGGGCACCTGTAGGTTTCTGCCATGCCCCGGGTGGGGGATGGGGGCATTTGTTCTCCGGACACAATGACTTGATCGAAGAAAAATGCCGCCCAGTGGCCAACAATCAAACCGACGCCTAGACCGCTCGGCCACCTCGTCACCCTATATGATATATATTGTATTAACTATATATATATGATATAATATAATATACTTTGTTAAACAAACATTGATTACATAATAAATAATAATGTTCCAGAAAGTTCTTAAAAGAATATTATAACCAAAATATTTTAACAGTTTGTCATCAAAGTTTCAATAATGTTATTTCATATTATAGGCTACAAATCATATTATATAAATGATTTATTAACATTAAATTATATTAAAACAATATTATTGATTTTAACTTTGTTTAAACGTTATTTTTGTGGCCAAAAAATTTTTTGAAAATGTTATAGTAACATTTAATAATTTTTTTAGAACTAAATGGAAACGTTATAGTAATTTCAATATTAATTAATTAATATTCCTTTGTTATTTTGACAATGTTCTTTTGCTGTCTGGGAACTTTTTTTTTTTTAGCGGTATCAATTTTTGTGCGATCAATACGACCAACAACGACCTACTACTAGGTTAGGTTAGGTTAAGTTAGGTTAGGTTGGGGAGTAGCAATGCTCGCGCTGTCCCTCCCCCGATCGCGATACCGTAATAAAGAAAAAAAGGTTAGGTTAGGTTAGGACCTAACCTACGACCATTGCTTTATAATTACATACAATTTAAATCTTTGTTGTTACCTCCACGACAAAATTGTATTGGAACTCTAAGCCAATTTCCTTGGTTAAATATTTGATTTTAAGTACAGTATACTATACTATTAATTCAAACAACTTTAGTTCAGTATGTGTACCTATGCTAATATACTATAAGTGTATTGTGAAAAATAAATTGTAATAAATAATACTATTTCTAAATATAGTATAACTCAAATCATTAACACATTAATAAAAACACTTATTTATTAAAAACAAGTTTTTTTTTTATTATTTAAACAAAAATATTCATCATGTTCAATAACATTGACATGGAACAGACTGGTGGAACAAACGGTATGTCAAAACTCTCCCCACTCGTTGAGGGCGATAATATTATAGAAGCATCTCTTAAAAAAAAATAATATGTGGGCGTATACAAAAGGTAAGTCTTAAAAACAAAATTAAGGATGCTACCGATTACATTACATTAAAATACCCAGCTATAATAAATTAATCTGAAGGTGTACATACATTTTTTCCAGTACACATTAGTGAGCCTAACGTTGAGAAACATTTAGACGTCAGTGACGCAGTAGTGGATATCACTCAATGCGCATTGTCAAATATAAGTTGTAAGTCAACAAATAAACTAGGATTAGATGACAATGACTAAGGATTGACGATCAACAATTCAGGTGAGAATCCCTATGAAACTGAAAACATAACAGTATTGAATAGCTGCACGAGAGTCTCATACAATTGACACTTCCTCAAACGATTTACTGAAAGGGGATGTTAGGCGAAATCTAGATTTTAAAGTAAACTGTGAAATGGAGTCAGAGACTTCAAAGTGTACAGCGATAGAACAAGCAAATTAATCTTTTGAGAATGACTGTGGAGTCTCCAAACTTGATTGGACCGTAGACAGTTTGCTTAGATCTGGTGAAAATAAAATGAATGAAGAGAAAAATAACTCTTTGGTTGCGGCCTGTTTTAATGTAACCACTTCAACTTCAATTAGATTAGATATAGGAACTTCTAGACAACAAACATTTACACATTCAACGCAAGCCGTTGATTTTAAATATCACAACAGTTATGTTGACAATAATTGTTCTCTTATGAAATCTGTAATGCTACTGAATGAGGCGGAGGTGATCGATGCTGTAACTCCAATAAAATCGTCTGGAACTATTGTCGCTTGTAGCACTCCTGAGACAGACGCAAAAGCGCTTCCCAAGAATTCCAATTTCACATTACTTGTCGACGCGACGGGTGCAGTCATAAGACCTACTACGTTAAAAAGAAAAACAATAAAAACGTTTATTGTACTATCCCAAATGGCAAATGGTGGATATACATATCAAATACATATTTGAATTTTATCTATTCTCAGATATATAACAGTTTAGGTATATAGTATATTATATAAATATCTTGAACTAAATATCAAATTCAAATTATTGTATTGATATGCATATAAAGTCGAAATTTTGATATCATAAAATGAACATATAATTGATATCCATACGGTGTATATTTATTGTTATAAATATAATATTAAACGTTTTATATTATTACGATATGTTTAAATGTTTAAATTATGATATTGTAATATTAATATGCTATTGTTGTCCATAAAATATGTATTCAATGATATCCATATATTATTAAAACTCAAATATTATTATGATTAGTATATTAAATCAAAATTCCGATATCATAAAATGGATATGTAATTAATATCATTATATCAATATTATATTCGTTAGTCATTACTGACATCTAAATAATATTATGATAAAGCAAATGAGCAATACTTTCAATAATAAGGTGGTTATGCAAATGTGTGTTCAACATTTATGATTGATTTAGACGTTGTGAACAACGTCTAAATAGCAATAGCGTCTATATATATTCAACACACTTAACGCAATGTATACAACGTTGACGGTGACGGTAAAATGCAGCCGAAATGCCCGAAATAATATTATTACCTATTATAGGCTATACCTAATACCTATGCCATATTGCCGTGTCTGCGGAACAATTTACCGTTATCATGTTACCACTGTATAGTGTATAAGCCATATCGGATATACATTATACATAGTATCTATATCCGTGGTATAAACACAGTGCGTCCGACTGTCCGAGGATTGTTACGAATGTAGGATGTGTGGGAGTGGGGTGTATTTGTTGTGTCTGGCTGCAGGGTTTTCGACGGCCGCTGCTGGTTATTTTTAACTCAAAAATTATTATTTGTCGAATTCTCGCTAAACTACAATAGTGTTTACGTAATTTATTACAAAATTGAAAATAATAATTATTCCGTACATTCATCATATTTAAGGTTATGCTTATGAACTTCTGAACTGTTATGTATTACACGTTATTTAAACAATATTATTCTGTGGTTTCGTATACTCTTAGCGCCTGTTGTGAAGTGTTTATTTTAATAATATTTATTAAATTACATGTTTTAACTTAACAAGTTTTAACTTAATAAATTGCTATACCTAACGTGTGACACTGTGACGTACTGTTATAAAATATATTATATTGTTTCAATATATTACGTACATCAAACTGTTCCAATATAACCACCTACTGCAAGTAATAGTGAGTAACTTTTACATTATAATTATATTTAACTTTAACATTATAATATTTTACAATAATGCACAGAAGAAATAATTTAAGTAAGTCTACCAAACGTAGGAGATTATTAGCCGAGAATAACTACATAAAAACATTGTCACACAATGATAGTTTTATTACTTCGCCGTCTGTCACATTAAATGATACCTCTACTATTGTAACCAATAACCCTTTGATAGAACCAACTACAAATTATACAGACGTTGATAATCATGTAAAATATCATTCCCCGTCTGTTGGTTTTGATTTACCTACCAATAATGTTAGCCAATTGTTAAATAATGCTTCAACATCATTATTGCTAAAGAATAGTGATGGAAATTTTGATCCAATTGAAGAAGTTCAAAACTCAATAGCCAGATCTAGAGATATAATTGAGGATATAGTTCAATGGGCCTTAGATCAAAATATACCTAACAATAGTTTTGATAAGTTATTAAGTATTTTAAAAAAACATAAATGTTTTGAACATTTACCAGCTTCTTGTAGAACTTTATACAAAATGTACTCTGGGGTTTCTTATGAAAACCCTGTTGAAGTTCAGATAGTTAGTCCAGGAATATATTATCATTTTGGCGTGGCTGATAATATCAAAAAACATATTGATCTTAATTATTTAGAAGATTCGATTAGATTAGTTGTAGGTGTAGATGGCTTGCCTTTGTCGAAATCTTCAGGCAGTTGTTTTTGGCCTATTCTTGGTTATTTAAGCAGACAGCGTAACCAATCTGTATTTCTCATAGGAATTTATTGGGGCAATAAGAAACCAGATAATAGCAATGCGTTTATGAAATATTTTGTTGATGAAATAGAACAACTTATAACTCATGGAATTAATGTTAATCAGTACACTGAAAATAATATATTAAATAATGTTCATAAAAATGTTACTATTGCATAGTCCTGTCTCAAAATATTTGTAAGTATACTTACTATATTAGTTAGTATACCTACCAACTATAATAAAATTATTTATTATTAAATATCTGTACCTATATAATTGTTTTTGTTTTTACTATGTATATAGTATATACTATATGCATAGATAAGCACATTCAATTGAAAGTAACTATAAAATCACTAAATATTGACTTAATTAGAGAATTTAATTTAAAATGTATTAGTCACTTTTTTCCATATAGACATTTGGTTTTGTTTATAATAATTCATCTACTTGAACACTGAATAATGTGATGTTTTGTTGAATCAATTTAAATAAATTATTAATTATACAATATCAATGTTTATGGTTTTAATATATTTATTACTAATATAATATATAGGTACCTAGTATATGTATATAATATTATGTACATTATTACTTTATATGTACAATAATATATACAATTTTGTGTATAGTGTCCTTAAATGAAGCACTGAATAAAGCCAAGAAAGCTGAATATACTTCAGAATTATCAGACATTGAAATAGGTCCAAATAATGTTAAAAGAAAAAGAAAAACTGAGTGTTTAAACAGCGACCTAGTTCAACCAAGTAATTTTAAATCTTTAACTATTACTATTTTATTAAGAAATATTAATAATTAAAACTATTGAACAGGTAATATTAGAAAAATTACTAATAAGCGTATTTTTAATAAAGATGGCTCATCTACCAGTATTTCTAAAAAGCAAAACGATGAACATGAAAAAGAATATTATTCACAGAACAAGAATATTTTAATACAAAATGACAATGAAGAAAATTCCGAAATATGTTTGTATTTAAAACCTAATAGTTATAAAGAAATGTGATTATATATTTTAATGTTTCTTAATGATTAGCGTCTGCAGAATCATCAGCTGATGATTCAGACTTAGACAAAAACTACTTCCCAAAGAGTCAACAATACGGTGATGATGTTAAAAAGAATGATGAATTTTGTGAAAATGTCTTCGCAAGTATTCAGCAAGATGATAAAGATAAAGATGATTTCTTACAATCAACAGGTATGTATAATACGTTTACAATAAACTCTAAAAATGAATATATATATATTTATTTAGTTCAGTTAACTACCTTAATTATTGTGAATTTTTTTTTTAGATTATAAGTTTGTAAGCAGTAACGATGATTATTCTTTAACTGTTGAGTGTAAACAAGCAAGTCTTAATAAACAAAATGGTAAAACAAGAAAATACTTAAAACTTTTATTTTATTGACTATATATATTTTTTTTTTTTTGGCTTCTGCAGATAATGCTGTCTCTGCTACTCCTACTAGTTTTAAAACCATGGACGAATGTGATAATGTTGGCACAAATCTCATACAAAATGGTAAAAATTTTAATCTTTTAGTTTTTTAATCTCATTTTTATAAATAATTGTATCATATTTTATTAGTGATTATGTATTATTTTATTTTGTTTAGTAGAACAAACTATGATGACTACACCGCCAGTTAAATCTTGTAAGCATGTTAAGTATTTAAAGTAATAATTTATAATAGCTTATTAAAATATATTAATCTGTTTTTATTTTTTCTAAAGTGTATTATTATTTATTTTTTGGACATAATATTATATAAGGTTATAGTAATCTAATTTATTTTGATTAACAGCAAGTGATCTTAAAGCAGTGATGCACTACTTGGCATACATCAAATGTGAAGTGAATAGAATTTCCGAAACACAACAAGAAATAATTGAAATACTTAATAACAATAATGCTCAAATTTTACAAAAAACCACTGATTTATTGAGTTGTGATAATTATGAAACCGACTATTTTGTAATGAATTGGCCAATAAACGATGATGACGGACTTTTAGATCTTGAAAATAAAATGAAAGATAGAGCCTTTTATAAACTAGTTGTATGTGTAAATAATATTTTAATATAAACTCTTTATATCTCATTTTTGCATATGTATTATACAGGTTAGTGAGTTGACTCGGCTTGGTGGTAAAACTCTGTCAAGAATCATCAACAAGATGTTGAAGAAAGTGTTTGATGATACCATATTGATTAAATTTACCTATTATGGTTTGAGAAACAAAGAAAGTTTTCACACCCTATCTATTAATAAAGCTATTTTCGGTAATTAATCTATAAACATTAATAGTTTTTTTAAATTCTTCTATAATAGGAAAAAAAAATAATTAATAAGATATTATGAAGTGAACTTTATAACTTGTTAATTATTATTTATAATTCAATTGAACAAATTGTTAATAAATTGTTTGCATATTTTTCACAGAGGCTGTAAGAAAATCTAAACAGAAATTGGCTTCAGATGAAGAAATCATCATATCCATTGGTAAATATATGACTGGTGCTAAAGGCAGAATAGAACAACTAACGTCAAAAACCAATAATTCTTAAATACAAGGTTTTTTTTATTAGTTTTTGGTAACTTTAAACCTTTTATAATATTATAATCTATCTATTGTGTATAATAATACATCTATTGCATAAAAGAGATGTGCTGATCCAAAAGTTTGATTTGTATTTGTTTTTATTACTTTTTTAGTAACATTAAACCTTTTATAATATTATAATCTATCTATTATGTATAATAATAAATCTATTGCATAAAAGAGATGTGCTGATCCAAAAGTTTGATTTGTATTTGTTTTTATTACTTTTTTAGTAACTTTAAACCTTTTATAATATTATAATCTATATATTATGTATATTTATATAATATTTTACTCTATGTATTCTTAATCTAAATTTATCTATTATGTATAATAATAAATCTATTGCATACAAGAAATGTACTGATCCAAAAGTTTGATTTGTATTTGTTTTTTTATTACTTTTTTAGTAACTTTAAACCTTTTATAATATTATAATCTATATATTATGTATATTTATATAATTTTTTATTCTATGTATTCTTAATCTAAATTTATCTATTATGTATAATAATAAATCTATTTCATAAAAGAGATGTGCTGATCCAAAAGTTTGATTTGTATTTGTTTTTTTTTTTTTTTGTGAAATTATTAAAATGACATTGCAGATTATTATGAATTTATTGTATTATTTTATTTCATATTTATAAAATAAATATTTTATTATTATAGCTACGGTTATTATAATGAAGTGATGTGTGAGAGATTATTAAATTAGATATTAACTATTAATGGAAACAGATAATATTTATAAATGTATAATTTATCTGGTGGATATGTACATATTATATACATTAGACATTTGTATTCGGATATAAGTTGAATATAAAAAGATATTAAAAATATATCTGATGGATATATAATATATAGGTTATACATATTATGTGTTGATATACGTAAGATATTTATATTTGGGTATAAGTTGAATATAAAAATATATTAATATATATCTGATCCATATATGAGTGTTGATATAAATTAAATAACTGTATTTGGTTATTAGTTTAATATTAAAATAATATTCATAGTATATCAATACTATATCTTTTCAATATAATTATGTGGATATAAATAATATATTGTTATTCTGATATTTATCAGATAAATAAAGTTGGTTCATAAGACATTTATATAATATCTGTTGGATATATAAAGTTTTGTAGGGGAGTTTATAAGGATGTTCTGTGGATATTAACATAGAATTAAAAATATCTCATTGATATTTATTCAATATGTTTCTGCTATGTGGGATGCGGCAGTGATAAAAGCAAACGAACACATGATGCCAGTTGCTGAATTTATAAGTACCGATCAATCGACAACAGCTATTTCTAGATGGTTGGATGCATTTAAACGGTTTGCAACAGAACACGGCTTTGACGTGTCAGATTTGATTGCGAATGTGACGAGTGATTTCTCTACGGCAATAATCAAATCGCTGGCACAGGCTTTTAACGGGTGCAAATACCCCTACCTAATAATACTACCTAGATCAATGTTATGATTACTTGTACGATCATCAACAAATTAAGTAAAAAATCATACTCAATTTGTGTTGCTGTCACTTGGTAAAAAACATTTCAGATGACGCATTCAAGTACTATGGTGCAGCTGGCAAAACGAATAAAAACAAAGATCTTGCACTTATCGTTGTTGGTTTTGTAACGCCAGCATTTAACCTGAAAAAGGTAAATGGTTTAAAGCACTTTGCACTGTTATACTTTCGCCGTACCAAAATGTTGATTTCCAGAAATTCATTGACTACCTGATAGAACTTAACAATAGCGATATGACGGTGTTGAATTCAAAAGAGTACGAAGATTTGGAAAACAATTTGTCCTTAAATTCTGATGAAACACAAGTAGATGATCTGAAAATAAACCCATTATCAAAGGGAAAATATAAAGCTTCAAAGTTTTATGGTTGTTTTGTAAAAATGTGTAGAGACTTAAGAGCATCATTTACAGTAGATAATAAAGGCGTTCCAAATGAGTTTCACAACGAAGAATATTTCAGTGACTTGATGGGATCTGTTGTACCTGTCATACCAATGCGGACTTGTCTTATGTTATATTCCAAATTAAAAGTATGCCATAGACCAAATAATTCTGGTGCAGAATTATGGTTTCATTATCTCAAAAGGAACAGCCTACAAGCAAAAAGTATGAAATGTAGTCGCTTCATAAGGGTTACTAGAGACAGAATAGAAAGTGTCACCAAGGAAGTCCTGTGTGATATACCAAACACGCGTTGTGCTATTCCCAAAAAAAGACAAAATATCGATTGCGATAATGTTTGGAAAAACAAAAGCGTCTTATCATTCAATATTGTCACAGATCTGAGTGACAATGAAGAAGTTGAACAGTGGAGAGCTAGAAAAAATAAAAAAATAGGATATTTTAAGCAAGGCAGCTTAATGGAAAATATGAAAAAATTAAAACCTATTCAAGCTATACACGAGAAAACAGAGACAGTAGTTGATTTAACTACGATTAGTGATGAAGATAATCAAATAACGGAAAATAATATGGTCACCCCAAGGGCCAGAGCTGTAAAAACAGTAGACACATTTCCGACGCCCGGTAGTTACTATTCGCCTATAGATAAAACACTATTGAAAATTGATACTTACCCTAACAGACTAAAAAAAGATGTAAATTTTTATAGAAAAATGGTCAGAAACAATGACACCAAAGACGAAAAAGATTATTTTGTAGGCAAATATAAATACGTAGAAAACATTGTGAGTTACACTGTTACACAGAAATATTGTTTTCAGATTTTGATACACTATCCGATTATCGGTCAGAGAGACCGATAATGAATCACTTGTGAGAAGCGTTGTTTTCTATAGGCCAGTAGGCACTGGGGATCATTTCAACGCAGAAAAAATAAATGAAACGAATTCATTGCATTGCCTCTTGGGGGGATTTGGAAAATGCACTTCTATAATAGTAAATTATACTAATAATATTACTTTTAACTGTAACATTAACATTTAACACTAACTGCCATTGCACACTTACAGGTTTCATGACTTTATAGTAGCTTCACACTGCATTTGAATTTCTGTAAATAAAGTACTTTTGCTGTAAACACGAATAGGGTACAATACTTACAGTAAGTTCTCAGCAATAATTAGTGAAAATATGTCCTAAGGATTTTAAATTCACAATAACAATATTATTGAGTATTAGCAATACGTAGCAATTAACTTATACAATAATAAGGTAACACTGATTTCAAAGCGTACGATAATTAGTTAGCAATAGAGAGCATCAAGTTAGCAATAATCGTTGACCACTGAAATCTTCTTATCACAAACAGTCGATTATTGCTAATGTAATTTTTATGTTTTTTTTGTGTACATAATAATCCACTTGCTTTTTTACTGTTTATAGCTTCCAAAAATGTCTTAGTGTCTTTTACTCCAAATGGGCATTTAATTTCAACAATAAAATCATCATTAACAAGACCGTCTATAAATTATAAAAAAACTAAATTAGCAATGTTGATTTAATTAATATTTATAATTAAGTACTATAGGCATTATACGTATATTTTATCAGGAGAAGCTGCTAAATAAGGAAAATGTTCATCAATAATAAGTCCACATTGATTCACTTTACAATGTAATTTTTTTTAGTAAGTTTCATAGCTTGTGATTCAGTGGATTTACCATAATCTGTTGCTTTCGAAGAAAATTTCCTATACATTATAGTATAAACAGTATTTTTACATGATGTAGTTGGCCGAAGTTTACAAACGCAGCCAAAATTTGATGCGGTAAGACGATTTCTACGTTCAACGTGCCAAATTTGAGAGTTTGCCTGTTCCCTTGTTTGTTCTTCAACGGCTAACCGTTCACGTCTATTCAGCTGTAATACATAAATAAAATTTTCTTTAGTTTTTTCTAATACTTATTTTGAAATATTATCTTATGGCAATGGTTCAGCTAAACCATAATGTTGATCCGGGCCAGTATTAAATCTTTTTTCTGAATTTCTGGAGAAAAGAATTTTTTTAGATTTTGGCTGGCATCTTTTCTTTTCACTAGATCTTAGAAATGTTTTCCTATTTCTCCTATAGAAAAAACATATTAATTTTGTATGAATGTTTTGTACAAATAAAATTATAACTATATGTTATACCTACCTAATAATAAGTGTAATTAATAATATGGTCATTATATTAGGTAGGTACATCAAATTGTTTAGAATAAAAATAAATGTATAGTATAGTGGAGCTAACTTGAATGTTGAACGATTTTCACTTGAGGTGACCGACTTCATGTACACTCAAGCGCGGATTTTGAATTATCATTTCTTTACATACGAAAAAGATCTGGATAGACATTCATAGACTCCGAACGGAGGGTCTGCGATCCGACGAAGTCGGATTGCTTACCTAGGTAGATAACTTGAATGTTAGGTTTTCACTTGAGGTAACGGACTTGCTAGACATTCCAACTCAGTTTTCGAATTTACATTTTTTTACATAGGAAAAAGCAAAGGACATACGACGGGGAACCGTGTTATTCATTTGCCGATTTTCGTGGGTGAAGTGAAATTTCAAACATTCCCGCGCTCGAAACGAGATCTCTAAGACTTATCAAAAATCGTTATCACCTCCTACATTTTTGTATTTAAACTACCCACGACGTCAACAGGAGTGACTTCTATAAGTAATTTCAACGACATTGACGTCTGCATCGCCGAGTCTCACAAGCCCCCGAGTTTCACGACAGCGAGTTTCACAAGCAGCTAGTTAATAATAAAAGAATAGCAGTGGACGACTGTAGTACTGAACGGTATAGCGCACATAATAAAATAATAATAATATCCTATGTATTACTTACTACACGTGCCTTGTTACTGTCTTCGGTCGGATGGTCGAATTGTTTCACGTTATTGTAACTAAATTATTTTTAAGTTACTTTTTTTTATTTGGTTATGTTACATTACTTTTGACTTTTGAGTTTAAAACATAACTCAATTACAAATTATAATAGAAGTTAAGTAGTATGTGTTTGGGGAGTTTGGCTCCATTTTTACAGGGAGATGAAAAAAAATCAAGGGAACAAATTCCTCTTACAGTGCATCCAATCTCCCTGTAATTTCAAAACAAAAATTTAAATGTTTAACCAGTTACATTATTAATTGCCAGACATGATGTTAAATAATACATAATTAATTTAAAATATTTAGTTAGTTTTTAATGAACCGTTGATCAATCAAGTTGTGTTTTATTTTTTATTTTTCCGACAAATTATCTTATTGATTTTTACGATTAAATATTTTCAGTTTTATCAAAAACCATGAATTTACAGAAATTTTCAATCGATTTTCCATCTTTAGTTTATTTGGTGCGAAATAATTCATATCCAGTCTATTCAGATTCTACAACATTTTTATCGAGATTAAAATCATATAATTCTTTTCCATCCACTTCGTGTCAAAATAAATATACATTATCTGAATCTGGTTTCAGATATACAGGAGTAGGAGATATAGTTGAATGTTTTTTCTGTGGACTTGTTTTACAAAAATGGACAAATGATGACATACCGTGGGTTGAACATGCAAAATGGAATCCTAAATGTATATTTGTTTTACTATGTAAGGGAAATGAATTTATAGAAAATGTAAAAAACGAATATGTAAAAGCAGGTCATGTTTGCGATTGTAATGAGTCTAAATCATATGACACCACTTGTTAGTTTACTTACATTAATTATATTTAAAAATTTTGTGCACGCATTACGAAATAAATATTGAATTTATAGACTTAAATGTGTTTGTATTTGATTTTATACCCTGTGAACTTGTTGTCTAGTGAAATAACGCGTCATGTTTTAATTGAATATTCTGGGTTT